TTTCCTTCATGATAAGCAGAAGAGAGGCCAGAATGAGAGGTGCTGAGAGTGGGAGGGGTGGTGCTGTCTGCCTGTCCCTTACTCGCACTGGCCTGGCTGTCCCCGGACCCTCACACTCACCAAAGGCAGCCCCAGTGGGGGCAATGCAGGAGAGAAGCAGGGGAAGACCATGCTGCTGAAGTTGGGGGGCAGACTGCTGGTTTTAGGGGCCCTTTTACATTGCCTGGGAGCCCTCGTCCCACTCAGGGACACAGAAAGCTCAGGCCTGATGTCAAGACAAGGAGGACAGGCCAGGGGGCCAGGAGTAGAGATGAGCCTGGGAGGCACCTGCCCTCATGGGGCTCAGGACCTCAGCCTCAGGGCAGGAGCCTGACCTGAGAGCCCCCTCCTCTTGATCCAGGAGCCTGACCTGAGAGCCCCCTCCCCATGGTCAGTCCTGCCCTACACAGGCCCAGCCCAGATCACCCAGCACCAGGGAAAAGGGTAGCTCCTGGCTCTCTGTCACCCATCCACTTTGCCAACCCCTGGGGGAAGCTCCCGGCTGTGGGCCCCGCAGGCCCGGCACCATCATGGGGGCGGCAGGTGCTCACAAAGACTCATCTAAGGGACCCTCACCCAGGGCACCCAGAGTCAGCACCCAGGACTCAACTTCAACACAGACACCAGAGCCCAAGGCCTTTTGCTGTGTCTAGTTTTGCTCAGGGAAACTCCCTGAGGTAAGAGAAACTGATAAGGCTCAGCCCCCTTTGGGCTAGCAGGGCTCAGACACAGACTCAATCACACAGGGCCTGGAGGGTTGCCACATTCTCAACCAAGTTCCTTTCATTGTAAAAATTCACATTTTAGAAAGTAGCCATTATTTAAAGTTTTAGTGGCTTTAGATACTCATTATATAATGGTACATTGAAGGCCCTCCCTGGTGGCCCAGTGGGTAAAAGCACAGCACTAAGAAGCCAAAGCCACTTCAGTGTGAGTTCCATCCCCAGTCTCGGAGGAGACCACGTGGCACGGCAGACCCCTCCTGACCCACCTGCTGCTCCCCTCAGCAGTGTGCTTTGTCAGTCTGCCTGTTCTGCTCCCCACTCTGTCTCTGCTGAATCCTCTCACTGCCCCTGCACCTCTGGCCTGCACCACAGTTCTGTGTGCATAAATAAATAAATACATCTTTTAAAAAAAATATGGTACATTGCGGATACATTGAGAACACAGACAGCTCGGGGCTGATTTCAGGCCAAGGAGGACAGGCCAGGGGGTCAGGAGTAGGGATGTGCCTGGGAGGCCCTTGCCCTCGTGGGGCCTCAGGACCTCAGCCTCCAGGGTAGGACCCTCTCTATTCAAGACACCCCTGTGAACAGAGCACTCCTGCCCCCATGATCCAGACTAGTGAGAAACACTAAGGAAGAACATCACATGACAGGCCCCCAAAGCAGGAGGGGCTGCTGCAGACGGTGTCGGGGCTCCCAGGTGAGAAGACCCCAGGTGAGAACTGAGTGTTCTCCAAGGCCTTGGCCTGTGCTCCCCTGGGAGAAGTAGGTCAGGGTGAGCAGGCGGCTCCCGGGCTCAGGACAGTCACCCCGGAGGAGCTCCTGGGTGGGGCATGTTGAGATTGGGGAGACTGGGGTCCAGGCCTGTCCCCTTATGCTCTCAGTTGGAGTCCATGTGTCTATATACCACAGCCTCCTAGTCCACTTATGCGTGTTAGAACTCAGTTGTTTCTCTATGTGGTTATTGTAATCAGTGCCATAATCAATATGGGAGTGAATGTGCGTATCATATAGTTTTAAAAATAACACTTTTCTCCTATTATGAACTTGATACAGGTTCATTACAGGCAATTGATAAAATACTGAAAAAAATTAATGTTAAATACTACATCCCCTACCAATGTGATCTGTCCTGAAATGCCAACTCCTACTTACAACTATAAATATTTTCTAAATCTGGGCCCTCCCTGGTGGTGCAACTGGTTAAGGTGCAGCACTATAAGCTGGCTGCAGCCGCCTCAATGCCAGTTTGATCCCCGCTCCGGAGGTGACCCCCATGGCACAGCACAGCTCTCCTGACCCACCCGCTGCTCCCCTCAGCAGTGTACTTCATTGATCTGCGTGTTCTGCTCCCCACTCTGTCTCTGGTGAATCTTCTCACTGCCCCTGCACTTCTGGCCTGTACCCCAGTTCTGTATGCATAAAGAAATCTTAAAAAAATATATTTTCTATATCTAGAAAATATTTTGCCTTTGTTTGCCTTTGTTTTGAATTTGTATTTTTAGACAAATTGAGGTTGTAATATATTTGTCTATTATTTTGTTTCTCTCTTGACATTATACTTTGAGTATCTTCCCAGCTCTGGGAAGTCAGCCCTGCCCTGGCCGCCCAGAGGCTGGGAGTGACTGATCCTTGGGGTGCCTTCCTCATGAGAGAGCCCCATGAACTTGGGGAGCCCCTCTCACCTAGTCAGCACAGTCCCCAGCTCCTGCTCGGGGGCCAGAGGCCAGCGCTGGTCATTGAGGAGGGACAGGGTCATGGACAGGGGTGTCTGGCCTAAGTGACTGTGCCCGGGGCGGGGTAGCTGCTGTGGACAGGCCGAGGGGAGCTGGAGGCCCCAGGGAGGACGGGCAGAGCAGCAGCTGGAATGTGCTTCAGGCCCTCTGGGGCTGTTTCCACAGAGGCACAGGCCTGGCCATGCCTCCGTCTGCCCTCTGCCATCTGGCTGGAGCCCAGATAGGATCATGTGTTTTGACTGCCTGGATGCATGCGGAACAGCCATTATGTGTGTGTGGGTGCAGTGGGCAGAGCCAGGAGGGGCGCCAAGGCTACCTGGGGTGCAGCCCCCGGCCCCCACCTTGAATCTGTCCTGGGAAGCAGAGCTCCCCCTCCTTGAGGCCTCGGGCGGGTGGAGCTGGGCCTCCTGGCCTGGGCTGAGCGGCCCTCAGGTCACTGCTGCCTGGGGAAGGCTCAGAGAGCTGCTGCAGCAGAGGGCGGGTCACAGTGGGGGATATTTTTAAAGTTTTGATGCCTAGTTTAGATTTTTTTGACCACTTATTAATGGTACTACAAATACCACATCATCTCATCAGTGGAAACAAGGTACCAGACAACTTTTTGGTCAATGCCAGTTGTTGAAACTGTTTTTAGTAGCTAAATTTAGTGTTTTTAAAATCTACCAGAATAAATTTTATCAAACGTTAACAAAAATGTTTGCCTTTGTTTTGAATTTGTGTTTTCTGTTATATAGTCATTCTTTTCATACTTAAGAAGTATAAATTATCTCATCTCTCAGATATTGTTGTTCTGTTTTCAAACTGCTAGAGATGAACAGTCATCTATATTTCCCTTGTTCATGTGGAATTAATTGTGAGAACGTTAGCACAAGTAATTGTTCTAGAATAAAACCAGGTAGCACCTGCTTTATTTACAATTGGAAAGACATGGAATCAACCCAGATGCCCAATAGTACATGACTGGATTAAAAAGATGTGGTACATATACACAATGGAATATTACTCGGCAATCAAAAAAGATAAACACATGTCTTTCGCAGCAACTTGGATGGAGCTGGAAAAGATCATGCTTAGTGAGATAAGCCAGAAAGAAAAAGAAAAATACCTGATGGTTTCACTCATAGTAGGAGTATAAAGGACCACGGGAGAAAATAATAATATTAATGAACAACTATGTACCAGAGACATTTTACAGGGGTGGGGTGAGGAATGGGATCAAAAATGGGGGGGAGGTGGTGAAGTGCACTGGACTATGGTGATGGCACACGGGTGATTTGGTGACAGGAAACCCACGGGGATTACAACTGAGATGGAAAAAGGCACAAAATGATGTAAAAATAAACTATGATGTTATTTTAAAAAAATCAGGTAGCACCATTGCTTTGACAGTGTTTCTCCCAAAGGTTTGCTGGCCTTTGATTTGTCAATCACTTGTTTCAGAGTTATCTCTCCTCAGCCGGTGGGACCTGCGCTCACAGACAACAGGCTCCTGGGGAACTGTGTTACAACACACAGCCCCCCTCTTTGAGTCAGCCTGTGCCGGGTAAATTGATGGGGTTTTTCCGCCCGCTGGCTATCAGCATCAGTGACCGATACCCTCGGTTACACGTGTGTCTGATGGCAGCCAGGGAGTGGGGCGTGGGCTATACGTGAGCACCCGGCTGAGGGGCCTCACAGGGGCGCCGGCAGAAGCAGAGACGGTGAGAGAATACTCGGGGAGCCCAGGAAGAGTGAAGATTTGCAGGGGCCCTGGAGGCCTCCAGCCTCCTGCCTCCCCCTCCTTGGGTCCCCTCTCTGCTATGTGTCACACTACAGACTATAAAAATCTCTGTAAAGCCACTGAGAGCTCCAGGCCCCCTCTGTTACCTGCCAGCCTAGAACACCTGCTCTGTGCCTGGCTGGTGCCACAGGCTGATGCGCACACTGCAGGGGACACAGCAGCTCTCGGCCTGCAGCTTTGGGCCCTGTTCCCAGATGATTGGGTTTTCCTACGGAGACACATTAGAGGCTCCCAATTCCCGGCAGGGAAATTTTGAAATAATGACTTTGTCTTTTCTCCTTTCCCCATTCCCAACAGCCATCACGCCATTTGTATTTCCCTTAATCAGTTACTGTTCCAGGTGGCCTGAAGCAAGGATGCTGGGCTTGCTGTGAAAGTGCCTCCCTCAAAGGCTGTGGAGGCCCCTGGTATGGGGCTGCAGGGAGGGGCCAGACACAGTGAGGGCCCTGGAGGCGCAGGGACCAGGCCACAGCCTGCATCTGCTCCTGTGTGTTGATATCTGGCATTTGCTTTTGGCACCAGCCTGTCCCAGCCAACCTGGAGGTGAGCGCCCGCATGGAACAAGGGTCTCTGTGACAAAGAGCACAGCACTGCCCCTGCCCCCCTCAGCCTCCAGACACCAGCGTCTCATCAGACTCCGCATCGGGCGCCCACTGGTGAATTCTCCCTCAACCAGAAGGCCCCCAGAGCCAGGGGGAGTCTCCCCACCTTCACGCTCACCTTGTGATGGTGCCTCCTCCACTCATGGCGAAGGGTCTTGAATGGTAGCGGCAGCCAAGGTCCAACTCCAGAATCCCGTCTAGCTCCTGCTTTCTGGGGCCCAGTCTCTGGGGCCGGAGGCCTCAGCTCCCAGGCCCAGGAAAAGGCCTCCACGTGGACCAGCAGCAGGGAGTGTGTGGGGGGTGAGCTCTGGCTCTCATCCCCTGAAGGGAAGGAGCACTGGGGTGCAGGCAGGCCCTGGGCTCCAGGCTCAGCTCTGGTGAGCAGATGGGTCTTTAACCCACTGATCAATCAGGGGTGTGGCTGCCCAGAGAGGAGGGGCACCCTTAGACCAGGGGATTCTCTTCAGCTGAGGTTATTGCGGAGAGGCCTGTCAGCTGAGTGCTGTCTCTGCCCACACCCCTGCAGCCGGGGTGTTCCCCATCCTGGAGAGGGGAAGGATCGCAACTTTCACCAATATTAGGAACTTACAAGGGGGCTGCTCCCAAGTTGTGGTCCTCATTGGTTCTGGAACCCTCAGGTAGAGCAACGAGGCAAGAAAAGGAAAGGAAATCATCTGCACTGGGAAAGAGGAAGCAAAAACCATGTCCTTTGGCAGAATCAAGGACACCTGAATAGAGAAATGCTGTGAGTCAGCGAGAAGCTACTCAGGCGAAGGAACAAAGCCAGGGCAGCTGCAGGCACATTAGCAACAAGCAAAGACCCCTGGGGTTTCAATATACTGAGACCAGTACGCACAATGAGGAAAGCCTCTCCAGTTACTGTGGCAGCCATGTGAGTGCAGCCGCCAGGGATAATAGAACTAGGAAAGACAGTGGGAAAACCAGAAACACTCAGGGAAGCATGAAGGAAGTTGTTGAAGCTTTTTGATCAAGAGCAGAGGGTAACAGCTTCTGGTGTCAGTGTGCAGAAATGAATAAGGAGCATTTTGGATGGGTGACAGTAAACTTGTCAGAGGGCTACTTGACCAACCCAAATGACCCCAAACAGAAGACTAGGTTAAAAAGATGTGACACAGGGCCCTCCCTGGTGGCGCAGCAGGTTAAAAATCTAAAAATCACTTCTGCATGAGTTTGATCCCCGCCTGCCCCAGAGGTGACCACATGGCGTGGCAGACCTCTCCTGACCCACCCGCTGCTCCCCTCAGCAGTGTACTTCGTCGATCTGCCTGTTCTGCTCCCCACTCTATTTTGAATCCTCTCAATGCCTGTACCCCAGCTCTGTATGCATGAATAAATAAATCTTTAAAAAAAAAAAAGATGTGACACGTATACACAATGGAATATTACTCAGCAATCAAAAAAAGATAAACTCATGCCTTTTGTAGCAATATGGATGGAGCTGGAAGGATCATGCTTAGTGAAATAAGCCAGAAAGAAAAAGAAAAATACCGGATGATTTCACTCATAGCAGGAGCGTAAAGGATCAAAAAGAGAGAGAGAGAGAGACAAAGGTAGTAGAGCAAAAACAATGAACAACTATAAACCAGAGACATTTTATTGGGGTGGAAGGGGGAAAGGGATTGGAACTGGGGTGGGAAGATTGCACAGGACTGTGGTGATGGCATACGGGTGAATGGGTGGTAGGAAGCCCGTGGGGATTACAACTGAGATGGGAAAATGTACAAAATGAAGAATGATCTAATATATAATAATAATAATAATAAATAATAATAATAAAGAACTAATGCTCTCCTGCTGCTTTGGAAGCAATTGGAACAATACAGAGCAGATTCGCATGCTGGCCCCTCATGGTGTTATGAAATTCATGAGGCATTCCATGCTTTTAATGGTGCTTAATAAAAATCAATGGCATTAAGAGAAAGCATTTATTATTAGGAACCAGACATCAAGTTCTGTGCTGCTCACAGGGTGAAACACGGCTTGACACCTTCGGTGCAGGAACCCACCTGCAACAGCTAAAGGTAATGAACAGTGGCCTCAGGTGGTGCTGCCCGAGCTCTGAAAACAGGAGAGACCAGGAGGGACAGTGGTGTCAGCGTGTGGAGCTGGAGGGAGCAGTTCCCAGCTCCTGCGCTCAGAGCGCGTGTGCACCACCCTGATGCAAGCAGGCAGGGAGGAGACGGTGGGTGGTCAGGGCGGGGTGCCGCATACACAGGCAGGCTCACTGCGGATTTGGGGAGAGGGATAAAGAGAGTCCCAGAGTCCTGAGTGGGTTTATCAGGTGTCAGTGCTCGCAGGGAACCGGCACACAGGCACACAGGCGGGAAGCCTGGCCCGCAGGGAGGCTGGCGCAGGCCGGCAGTGGGGGCTGAGGCCGCCTCCCGCGAACCTCTACGTCCTTTCCCTGGCCCCTCTCTGCCGTCCCACCCTGCACTGTCTCTGGTCTCGCTGGTCTCGCCTCTTCTCACTCCCCCAGCTCTGGTGCTTTTTTTTTTTTTTTTTAAAGATTTTATTTATTTGTACATACAGAACTGGGGTACAGGCCAGAGGCTCTGGGGTGGCGAGAGGCTTCCCCAGAGACAGAGCGGGGAGCAGAACAGGCAGATTGACGAAGTACACTGCTGAGGGGAGCAGCAGGCAGGTCAGGAGAGGTCTGCTGCGCCATGTGGTCACCTCTGGGGCAGGCGGGAATCGAACTCATGCAGAAGTGGCTTTAGCTTCTCAGTGCTGTGCTTTAACCTGCTGCGCCACCAGGGAGGGCCCAGCTCTGGTGCTTTTATCCCACATCTTGGTCAGCTGTGTGCACGTACGCATGCCCGCCCCAGGTGTGCACCGTCAGGCATGCCTGCCCCGTGCCCACGCGCCCAGCACGTGCAGACGCCATCAAGGCCGCAGCTGATGGCCACAGAGGCTAGTGGAGTAAAAAACCTGATTAAATATTTGACCCTGCAGGTATGCAGGGGCGTAAGGCTGGAGCACGGGGAGAGGGACAGACCTGCCTGGGTGCCTCTTGGTCTCGGGCCCACCTTGCTGGGAGGAGGACTCATGGCCTGGCCTGGAGCACTCCTGCATTCCACAAAGTCCCTTGGGTCATCCCATCTTCCAAAGAGGTAGAAACCAGGCTGAGAAATGAGGCTGCAGCAGGTGTCCTGGACTGTTCCCAGAACCCTGAGCAGGGAGGCCCAGACCCAAAGGCCTCAGCTCCTGACAAACAGGGGCTCTGGGCTCTGAGCTGGAAAGGGAGGGGCACGCCGCCTCCTGGTGGGGGGCAGGGGCACTGCAGTCACCTCCCCAGTCAGACACAAGCAGTCAGGGCTCTGTGCAGGGGCTTTATTGGGGGTAAAGGGAGCTGCAGTGGAGCATCAGGACTCGTTTCTCATGGTCTTCTTAATCCAGGGCAGGAGAGAAGTGATACGGGGGCTGAAGAATGGCTTGTAGCTGGAGTTAGCTTTGCTGATCTGGGACATTAAACCCACTAGGGTCCAGGTGTTATTACTCAAGCACACCAGGGGGTTGCCAGAGTCACCCTGTGGAGGAGAAAGGTCCCTTTGTGACCCTGATAGAGGTGCCAGGACACTTGTGTGCGCTGATCTGGCTGCATCTAGGTGTGCTGCGTCATCACAGGTGGGCTCAGTGGTGAGCACCAGAAACATCCACCTAGTCCAGAGTCACCTCGGCTCCATCACCTGCTCCGGCAGGCACGGGGCTGGGGGTGCCAGCCAGCTGAGCCACAGACCCATAGTCACGTGAGAGAGACCCCTCTGGGAGGGTGACCACCCCCCCTCCCCCGACATTCCCCATGGGCAGTTAGGGGGTCCTGTTTCCCTGGACACTGGGCAAGGGCTGGTAGTGAGGGGCTCATGGGGCAGAGTGGCCCTTGCAGCCCAGGAGAGAGGACACAGCAAGGGGCTGGGGCAGAGTCAGGCCGTACCTTGGTCATGGTGACACCCAGAGATCCGGCACAGAGAACGTTTTTCGGCACAGTTGTGCCCCAGTATCGCATGCATTGTTGGTTGTCCATGAGGGTCATGTAGGACTGCTGCAGCCTCTGAGGTACACTTGTGACTGCAGGGACACAGGAACCTGAGCTGCTCAGAGCCCTCAGCCCCCTGGCTCCCCCTGGGTGGAGATGGCAACGCTCTGGTGCTGCCACACTGGACTGTCCACCTGCTTCAGCATCAGCAAGTGCTGGGTCACAAGTCAGCACGCCCTGTAGACCTTGGAGTGTCTGCGGACACAGGCCCTGCAATTCCACTCCAGGGGCTGACCCTTCTCCAAGCACAGGAGAGGCCACAGGCCCTGCCTGGCCAACCGGTGTGGCCTGGGTCCTGCCAGCCGGGCAGGGGCTTAAGGGCAGGTTTTCCCTTTGGGAAGGAGGCTGACATCCTTTTCACTGCAGACCCGCTCGGGGGATGAGGGGCACTCCTTACCCCTTCCTGGCAGCCACTGTCCTGTGGCAGGACAGCCAGTAGCCCTGGCCTGAGCAGATGGACTCAGGAGGCTGGAGGAGACCAGGCCGTGCTGTGCTGGGCCATGTAGTCCCTAAGTCTCCCAAACCCGTCAGGGCCCAGAAACCACCTTGGGCCCCTGAGTCCCAGCCACATCTGACAGGCGCCTGCTCCCCTGTTCACACAAGATTCGGGGAGTGTGCACCCAGGTGGGCTGCTTGCAGGGGTGAGTGGGTGGGGCCACTGGGGCTGAGCTGTGTCTTCAGAAATTGTTCGTGGACATCGCTAGCCTCAGGCTCTAAATGGCTGCCTGGGATTCGCTGAGCGGCACATATTGGAGATCACCGCTGCGGAGTCAGCCCGACTCCAGACCTGCTGCTGGGTGTAAGGTCACGGCCACTCACCATTGTAGCGCGTAGAGCCCCAGCCACTGGTGAGGCACAGCGTGTTGACGGGGAAGAGCTCCCTGTTTTGGGGCAGGCACACGGTGGCCTTATCCTTAGAGAGGCGAACCGGTGTGACCAGTTTCACAAGGGTGATGTCCTTGGACACACTTCTTCTGTGAAATTTGGGGTGGTTGAAAACCTGTGGGTGATTTGAAAGAAGGAAGTGAGAGGGTGGGATTCAACAGGGACCAGAAGGCTTTGGAGACAGATGCTCTCCTTGGCCACGGAGGTCTCATTCAGGGGAACCCAGAAGCAGAATCTGAGGCCAGTGTGCTGAGCTCCCCAGCTCTCAAGCTGAAGGTTCATGTCCCTTTCCCCCTGTCCTAGGCCCTCAGCCAGTCCGGGCCTGTTCAGTCCCACCAGAGTGCACACTCCTCCGAATCCTGTGGGCGCAGGGAGCACCTGTCAGATGTGGCTGGGACTCAGGGGCTCAAGGTGGCTTCTGGGCCCTGACAGACCTGGAAGAGTTGGGGACTCTATGGCCCCGGGGCGGCTCTGCCTGGTCTCCAGACTCCTGAGTCCTTCTGCCCAGGACTTACCTGTGCACAGGTAAGTCTCGCTTACCTTGGCAATCCTGCTAATTTCATTATCTACTGAGCGTCGAACAACTATTCCAGTTCCAGCCAGGTGATCATTCCTAGGGAGCAGGTGAGTGAGGAAAGGGAATGAGCCCACTGCCCCCCACCCCACCCTGTCCCTTGAGGGGTCTCACGTGATATTGCAGTGGGCGGCGGAGATCACCCAGACAGGTGAGATGAGTGCACCATTGCATATCAGATTGCCTCTTACGTCCTGGAGGAAGAGGGGAGGTCACGCAGGCTGGACACCAGCCAGCATTTGGGCTGCAGTCCGTGCTCTGTGCTCCTTTTGGTATTTTGCCCCGTGTGACCCCCACTGGCATGCACACTCCCACTCACTATCACAGTCACATGCCAGGGACAGGATCCAGGGAGAGATTCCAGCCCATTGATGATCCTGGCGTTGCTGCTCCTTGCAGGGTGAATGGCAGGAACCCCGCAACCTGAGGGCACAAGAGGACAGTCATTAAGCTGAGGCCCCATACGCTGGACCTGGTTTCCACCTTGGCTTGCCAGTCCCCCACGGCCATGTGGCCCACACAGAAAACGTCCCTGGAATCCTAATCTCTAGGCTGGAGGTGATCTCCCACATCCTGCTGTAACTAGGCACCCTTCCGTGGACATGGGAGTAGGACATGGGTCTATCCCGCCCTGCTGCCCAGAGGGTCTTAAAGAGGCTGAGAGAGCAGGCCTCCCTGCCTCCTCTTCCTTGATGGAGACCTCAGCCCCTGTCTCTCCCAGCTCATTTTCCTAGTAACGGGGGAGGTGGGTGGTGGCAAACACTGCCGCCCTCCCAGGTGATGCTCCCTGGAGAGTGTGTTGGGGCAAAATGTGGAATTACAATCAGAGAAGGGGATCCTGCCCTGACCCTTTCCAGACCGCGCCAGGATTCACTGACATTTGGGATTCTCCATTCTGGAGCATTCAGGAAGTATTCATTGCTTTACATCGAAGATTATCAATTAATTAATAAAACAGGAGTTTGATTCCGCCATAAAAAGATTGGAAGAAGGAGGAAACAAGGACGAGATTGTCCAGATCGAGGAGGACACACTGGCCTTTGGCACATCAGGACGTGTCTGCTGGGTCAGGACACGGGATCCCCAGCAGCCCCAGGGGAGTGAGAACTCGGCCACAGGAAGGGGGGGGGCAGGGCCAGCCCCTCCCACAGACAGGCACCCCCAGGCCTTGCTCCAGGCAGCACCTGCCCCTGGGGAACAAGGCCCAGTCGCTCCCTCAGGCTGGAGACTCCAAACATGTCCTCCTCATCTTAAAAGAACAGAAAACCCCCAGCAGGCGCTGTGAGCGGCGCCCCCTGCAGGCGCTTCACAGCAGTGCAGGTTGCTGGTCCCTGTTCAGGGAGGGAATTGAGGTCTCACCCCAGTGGGGACAGCAGCTGTGACAGGCACAGGGAGGGGATACAGGGAGGGGCTCCCCCACGGAGCCCGCTGTTCTGGGTGAGCCCCAGGGGTGAGTGTGTGAAGCCTGCACAGAGTGACAGGTGGGGACTCAGCAGAGGCCCCTTCCTGGGAGAGCGGGGAGAACAGGGCGGTGCTGCGCCTAGTTGGGTGTCAGAGAGATCCCTGAAGCAAATAGCTCATTTAGCAGGATAAATACATAGGTTTTGCATTATTTTTACTCTTAATTTTTTTAGTAGGAGACATACCACTTAGCACTTATACTGAATAGATCTCCAGTGGAGACATGGGGGGGTTTCCGCAGCCCACCCTTCCTGTGCCACAGCCACACACCTGTCTATGGTGGATTGGCCTTCCTAGGGCCCAAGTAGTTCTTTTCCATACCTGGCATAAGGTGTGAGGACTCAGAAAACCACACAGGCCCCCTCTCCTCCCTGTCTGGGCTTGAGGCCGGGGTGCAGGCCAGGGATTCGGACTCCACTTACACTAGCCCCTGGGCCTCATCTGGGAAGCATGCACTGTAAGGACCTGGTGGCGAGGCCGTTGGGGCTCAGGGCCTTTCTTCTAGAATCTTTCATGTGTGAGCATCCCCAGGTCACAAACTCACCACAGACAGCCTCAAAGAGGGCGAAGCAGGAGAGGAGCCAGAAGAGGGCCATGGTGCTGCTTTCCAGGAGCTGCCGGCAGCCTGCTCTGGGTCCCTTTACATACCTTTGGGAGACTCAAGCACCACCCATGTCCTCTCTGAAGTCCCCTGGCCCAAGTGTCATTTCCTGTGTAGTCATCTAAGGATCTAGGTGATAAGGAACTACAAACCCTTCCTGACTTGGCCCTCAGCCAGGGACACAATGGCCCCCGGGGAAAGGGCAGCTGCCTGACACAGGTGTTCTGATCAGCATCGGTTGCTCCTGGTGTAAGGAACCCATGTGGGCCCTGGGTCCACCATGGATGGTGGCAGGTGCTTAGCAGAGACACATCTACAGAGGGCCTCACTCAGGTGTTCTGGGGCATACAGCTGTGCACCCTGGACTGAGCAGATGCTCACTTTGCCACAGACCACAGAACACAGAACTTCAGGCTGCTTCTCTGTCTGTGCTGAAACCCTCTGAGGCAAGAGGAAATCTGTTGCCTCCTAGAAGGGGCTTCAGAATTAGCAGTATCATTTATAGCTTCCGAGCACAGCGTGCATGAAAGGATCAACATGCTCAAATTCCCTTTTTGTGTAAGTCAGATTTTTATGAAGTCTCTGTTATTTAAAATTTTAGTATCTTGAATAGATCTTTCTTTCCACACCATAAATGGCCCATTGAGGACCCAGGAAGCTCAGGACTGATGTCAGGACAAGAAGGAGAGCCCAGGAGGCCAGGAGCAGGGTGTTCGGGCCCTGCCCTTGGGGCCCTCACATCAGTGAGGAAGAAACCCTAACCAGAAAGAACATCCAGGGCGGGTCCCCAATGCAGCAGGGTTGCAGGCTGTGATAGCTGAGACCTGTCAGATTTTGGTGTTCTGTGCCCCTGACTCAGGAGATGATCACCTACATTTACTTTGTTCCACATGGAATTAGTTGTGATACTTTCAGCTCCAATAATTTTTCTAGGTAATAAAAAGGCAACATAATCATTTGAACAGTTTTAGCTTTAATGTCCCCAAGCATTACTGTCTCATAAACTTTAATGTTTTGTTGGCCTTTTATTGGTGAATTCAAATTTGGGTTAGAGTTGCCTCCTTTCGGCCCAAGGGACATTTTCTGAGCAGGAAGAGGCTCCTGGGGCCCTAACCACTCACAGGCCCAGCTGTCACTCGGGAAGGCTGACATAGCACATTTTAGGGGACTGCAAGGTGGACCCCCACTAGGTGCCGCCTGGTTTTTGGACATCTTCACAGTACTGAGTGGGTACAACTTCTGACTGAGGGTTGCCAGGCCTGGAGGATTAGGGACCCCGATTTTCAGGCAGGGAACTTATTGAGATAGTGACAATTGTGTCTCCTGTCCTTTCACCACTCCAAGCAGGGAGCCAAGCCTTTGTATTCCCTGGAATCAGGTATTTTTTATAGAGCAGATAGAGGCAGCCTGAAGCCACACTGGCTCTGGCCTCCTGTGTTGTGCCCTCCTGTGATGCTGCCTGGAGGCCTGGGGCGGCAGAGAGGGGAGGGACAGCTGCCCCTCCACAGTGAGGGCCAGGGGCCAGGTCACAGCCTGCATCTGCTCCAGCCCACCCCCATACCCCCCAACCCTGAGGTGAGTCCCTAGGGAGCAGAGTCTCTGTGACAAAGAGCACAGCACCGCCCCAGCTCCCTCAGCCTCCTCCCCCGCAGCTTACTCAGACCCCGCATAGGGCACCCACTGAATTCTCTCTCAACCAGACACTATCTCATCAGATGGGAGTCTCCTCACCTTCACTTTCACCTTGTGATGGTGCCTCCCCCACTCACGGTGAAGGGTCCTCATGGCCAGCTGCCCTGGGGTTGATCTCCAGAACCCCGAGGAGTGCCCACTCTGAGGTCCAGTCCTGGTGCCCAAGGCACAACTACAGGCCCCCTGAAGCAGCCTCCAGGTGAAGACCAGCAGCAGGGAGTGCGTGGGGAGAGCCCCTGGTCCCAACCCCTGAAGGGAAGGAGGGTGCAGGGGCTGCAGGCAGGCCCTGGGCACCAGGCTCAGCTCGGGTGAGCAGAGGGGCCTTTAACCCACTGACCGATCAGGGTGTGGCCGCCCAGAGAGGAGGCTCGGCCTTGGTCCAGGGGATTCTCTTCAGCTGAGGGCATTCCAGAGAGGCCTGTCAGCTGAGGGCCATGTTCCGCCCACACCCCTGCAGCTGGGATGTCCTCCCTGGAGGGTGGCAACATTAGTATGGAGTGAGGAGCTCACCTGAACACCAACCTCGTGAGCTCTACAGTCGCGAATTTAATATAGACTTAGTGTGCGAAATTAATGGAATTAATGTACACAGAGAAGCAAAGAAGTTATGTTTACAGTTTCCTGTAATACCTCTGAAGTTTCCCATCTCCATATGGACAAGTGCCCGATCAGACACAATGGGCCTGAAGTCAGGATACTGAGGCCTGAAAATGTGCCCAAAGTCTAAGGCGACGTCTGGTGGGGACTGTTCTGTGGGGGAAGAGCCAGGCAAGTCTGGTGAAAGGAGCAAACTGGCCCAGGTACAACTCAAGACCAAAGCTGCCACTGCTGACTCCCCCATGGGTCTCTCGCCCCCTGTCTTCTCCGAGTGCCCGACAAGCCGGTCCCCCACATGTGTCCTCCCAGCTCCCCAAATGCCTGCTGCAAGTCCAAAGCCAAGGGCCATGTGCCCCTTGTTCTCCACACGTCTCTTCTGAGAGCGCCCCATTTCCTGGCTGCTCCGCTCCACCCCTCACTAAGTGGGAACGGGGACGGGGTCTCCCCTAGCACAGCAGCAAGGCTCAGGGCCCACATTGTCGTACCCCACATCATGATGAGGAGAGTTAATAGTATGAAGATGTCAATAGAGGCAAAGCGATCTTCAGGTTCAATGGCATCGTTATCAAAGTCACTCACGACACCAAAAGCATTTGCAAAAACCCAATAATGTGGTGGACCACATCAAAATTTGAAAATTCTGTGCATCTATAGATATTCTTACCAAAGTGGTAAGGCAGGAAAATGCTGGAGTAAATATTTGCAAAATGTATAACTGAAAAGCGTTCAATAACTAGATAGAATCAGAACTTCTAAACTCAACAACAAAAAAGAACCCAGTTGAGAAAAGGGCAGAGGTCTTGAGGGTGCTTCTTCTAGAGAGTTCCATCTGTGGTCAATGAGCCCACTTTGCCAGTCCCATTGTTGTCAGGGCCAGGAGCGTTTTCTGAGAAATCAACCAGACGATGAGCTTTTGGGAAATAATCAGCTATTGAGACATGGGCAAGATTAGGGCCTCCTCAATACATGATGATGGACCCCTGCGCTCAACAGGCTGTAAGAGAGAGATCAGAACACAAGGGTCTGTGGAGAGAAGAGTAACTATCATGGAAGAGCAGAAATGTTCAGCTGACTTCATTCATTATATTGGTGTGAAAATGTTAGTTCTTTGCATGTGCAAGGGATAAAGCAAATACATAATTATGGAGTATTCTACATCAATCATTCCCATTGTATGAAAGAATGAGGATGCTTAGTGTAGAACTAAAAATATGTCAAGGTAAGCCCTCCCTGACATATTTTGGGTTAAAGCACAGCACTAAGAAGCTAAAGCCACTTCTGCATGAGTTCGATCCCCACCTGCCCAGGAGGTGACCCACAAGGCGGGTGAGGCAGACCTCTCCTGACCCGCCCGCTGCTCCCCTCAGCAGTGTACTTCGTTGATCTGCCTGTTCTGCTCCCTGCTCTGTTTCTGGTGAATCCTCTCACCGCCCCTGCACCTCTGGCTTGTACCCCAGTTCTGTATACATAAATAAATTAATCTTTTAAAAAAATATGTTAAGGTAGACTATTTACAGTTAAGTAAATGACCTTCAGCCTTAGCTTTGAAGTGCAAATATCTCTATAAATTCATGGCATATCTTATTTCTTGTAAAAGAGCTCTTTGTACTGTCCATTGGAAAGGTCTAGAAACATTCCCTACTACCCCAATCATGAGCGTTTCATATACCCAGAGTGTGAGCTTGAATTCTTTTTCTACTGTAGGAATTCAGGGTATTTCAGAGAAATAGTTGCTCAGGGTCTGGGGCATCTTAAGAGACCAGAGATCAAGGCAGCTTGGAACTCACGTGACTTTGTCAAACATCCCAGTGCTGACTCGAACACCCCCACTGCCAATTCCCCACAGTGGGGAATTTCAGCTTCATGAAGGGTAATAATTACAATGGTCAGAACCTTTTGTTTGATGCATGAGCTTCCAAGAACTCAAGCAAAACTAAAATTAATGGGCCACCTTTGAGTTGGAGGAAACAGATCACTACTGTAAGAATGGATAAAGGAAGCTATGGGAGCACTTCTCCTGCATGTCCTATACACGTCACTGGGTCGCTGATGTCAGATAGGGAGACGTACCCAAAAGGATTCCAGAGAATGAATGAGAAAGAAGTTAGAACTAAGTAATCACCGATTTTTAGGTTCACCAAAGCTGATCATGCATCAAGCAGCAAGGTGTGTGACTCTTACGGAGAAAATGGTCCTGGCCCCTTGATGCGGGATCCCAGAGTCCCAGCGACTCAGTTCACAGTGTGCAGGGCCTGGGTCCAAAGCAGGGAAGGGAGTGGACTGCATGGGTGGTCTGGGGTGGGGGGTACAGGGGGCTCAAGGCAGAGAAAGGTGCCTGGAGCACGTGGGGCCTTCTTGGTGCTGGGGCCCAAGGACTCAAGGCCTGGCCTGGAGCATTCCCGCCTTCCACAGAGCTCCTTGGGTGAAGCCCAGAAGCCAAAACAGCAGATACCAGGCTGAGACATGAGGCTGCAGCAGGTGTCCTGGACTCTCCCCCAAGAGCCCCCTGAGCAGGGAGGCCCAGACCCAAAGGCCTCAGGTCCTGACAGGGGCTCTGGGCTCTGAGCCTGGAAAGGGAGGGGCACGCCGCCCCCTGGTGGCGGACAGGGGCACTGCAGCCACCTCCCCAGTCACAGACACAAGCAGTCAGGGCTTTGTGCAGGGGCTTTACTATGGGTAGTTGGTGCTAGGGTGGAGGGAGCTGGAGTTCTTGGCCAGGATATGCTGAATACAGGGTCTATTATAAGTGACATGGGAACACAAGAAAGGCTTATAAGTGGAGCCAAAGGTGTTTGCTTTGGACTTGATGCCCAAGGCAAAGGATCCACGTCCCATCCTTGCAGACTGGAGGCCACCAGAGTCTCCGTATGGGAGGAGAAAGGATCTGTTGGCAATTGTGAAATTAGTGCCAGGCCACTTGCGTAGCCTTATCATGTCAGGAATGTGCCTAATATTCAGTTTGGCTCATCAGTAAGCACCAGAACCTTCCATTGAGTCTACTGCTCAGCCACTGCTCAAACAGGCCCGGGGCCATGTCTGAAATGGGCTGAACTACAGGCTGGTGAGGCATGGGAGAGAGCGCCTGGAGCCCGGCCAGAGACACTGACAGTGCTGTCCTGTCACTTCTGGGCACTGGCAAGGGATAAGGGTGAATGGAATGGGGCAGGGTCAGTGTCCTGCTAGTTCCTGAACAGGACACTTCGGTGCTGGGTAAGAGCTAGACCATCCGTGTGGGTGGTGACACCCTTGCCCCCAGCTTAGCAGATCAGCTCAGACATCACTGTGTTCCAGTTCTTCTCCCACTCGGTCTTCTCAGGCCTGCTGAAGCTTTTCTGTTGTCTTGGTGGCTGGAGGGACAGACAGCCCAGGATGAGGCTGGGCCCCTCCTCCTCCTAAAGCACCCAGAGAGATGACCAGGGACCCCTGGGTGCTGCCCCCACTTGACTGCTTCACCATCACCTGGGTGGTGGAGAAGAGTCCACCATCACCTGTGGGCTTTCTAAGTGTCAGCAGACAGAAGATAGCTCTGAAACCATGAGTTGTTTTAAAATATTATATTTTATTGGGTCTGTCCACTGGAAAGGTCTAGAAAGGCCCCAGAATACATTATTCATCAGCATCCCCTAAACCAGACTGGGCTTGAAATTCCTCTTCCAACTCAGTGGATTTTAGAGAAACAGCTGAACAGAGTCTGGGCATCTTGTGAGACCAAAGAGCAAGGAAGTTGGGAACCCCCAGGGCCCCAGGCCCCTGGACAGCCCCTGGGTCACAGGGGCAGAACTCTGGCTTCACAAAGGGTGATAATCACAATGTTTAGAATGTTTGTCTGATACATGCGCTTGCAATGACTCAAAAACAAGAAGAAATGAGCAGGCCACTGTGGAGATCAAGAGGATATGCTTCACTATCTTAGGGAAAAGTGTGAACACAAAGCTTTCCCCTGCATTTTCTGCATGTAAGGGCCACAGGGTCACTAATGGGAGATGGGGTAACATCCCGTTGAGAAGATCCCTGGCAAGAAATGAGAAAAAGTTGAAATTAAGGTTCTCTAAGAGTCGATATTCAGGTATCAGGCATCAGATGTGTGATTCTAAGAGAGAGAAACCAGTCCCAGCACCTCTGCAAAGAGGAACCCAGCCTGCCTGGGGGGGGGGGGGGGGAGTTAAACAGATTGAACATGTATCTGGCAAAGTCTCTAGATCCACCCCACCCTCATTCCTAGAAGAATAGAGAGAGGAGGGGCCTGAAAGGACTGGGATGTCCCCTGGGGGACTGGAGGGTACATTTTCCAGCTACTTAGTCTGCATTTGGACAGGAGCATGGTTCCCAGGCAGGGGAGGGAGGAGACTGCATGAATGGTCTGGGATGGGGGTGCAGGGGCTCAAGGCAAAGAGAGGTGCCTGGAGCATATGGGGAGGGACAAGCCTGCCTAGGTGACCCCCTGGGTCCAGGGCCCACCCTGCTGGGAGGACACATGGCCTGGCCTGGAGCACTCCTGCCTTCCACAAAGTCCCTTGGATCAGCCCATCTTCCAAAGAGGTAGAAACCAGGTTGAGAAATGAGGCTGCAGCAGGTGTGTGGACTCTCCCCAGGGGTCCCCTGAGCAGGGAGGCCCAGACCAAAGGCCTCAGCTCCTGACAAACAGGGGCTCTGGGCTCTGAGCTGGAAAGGGAGGAGCACGCCGCCCCCTGGTGGGGAACAGGGGCACTGCAGCCACCTCCCCAGTCACAGACACACAAGCAGTCAGGGTCTGTACAGAGGCTTTTATTGGGGACATTTGGGATTGGGATCTGAGGAATTGGGGCTCAGTTTTTTTCCATGGTCTCTTGAATCCAGGGCATGAATTCATTGACATAGGCAAACATGTTAGGCAAGTTGGTTTTGCAGCCACTAGCTGCCATACTGGTGACACCCACCAGGGTCCAGATTCCATTCTTCTGGCAGACCAGGGGGCCGCCAGAGTCGCCCTGTGGGAGGAGAAAACACCTTTTTGTTAGTCTTTAAGGGATGCCAGGACCATGGTCTGTCTGACCTGGTCAAGTCATATGATGTCAAAAAATATCAGGGTGGCATTTTATTCCAGCACCAGAAAGTTCATCTGGCCAGTGCAGCCCAGTTCTGCTGTCAGCTATGGGAGGGTTGGGGCTGTGGTCTACACATGGGCAGGAAAACGTAGCCCATGGGAGGGTGAGAGCATGCCTCCCTGGGACATCACCCCTAAGTCTGACCAGAGACAGCCATCTGCTGGGCGTGCATAGGTGCTGATCCTGGCTTCCCTGTGCTTGGGGCAAGGGCTGAGGTAAAGGGATTATAGACGAGGAGGGGCCCTGCAGCCTGACCAGGGGGGTGCATAAGTAAGGGGAGGGGGGCGAGAACAACATACACTGCAGACGGAGACGCCGTTGGCCCCGGCACAGATAATCTTTTTACTGATATTTCCCCAGTACTTGAGACACTGCTCGTGGGACAGGAGCGGCATGTAGGCCTGCTGCAGCTTCGAGGTCTTTCCTAGAGAAATAACGAGGGCAAGACAGTTGGGGGAACACACACCTAGCCCACCCTGGTGCAAGAGGGGCCCATAGAGCCCTCTTCCTTCACAGATGCCAGGGTGCTGGGGCTAGGCCCGGGGCCTCCATCTGACCCGAGAAGCCTCAGTGGATGCAGGCCTTGTGATTCCCTCCAGGCCAGGCTGGCTTTTCCCCAAGGACATGTGATGACACGAGCCCTGCTGCCAGCCTGCTGTGGCCTGGGCCTGACATCCAGGTGTGGGGGTGCACAGGGACAGTGTGGGCGGCCCCCTCACCCCCCCAGGAAAGGAGACTGATATCCATTTGACAGGTGACTCCACTCTGGGGGTGACAGAGAGCTCCTTCCCCCACCGAGCCTTCCTGGAAGTATCTCCAGGTGCTATGGGAAGGCCAGCTGGGTAGCCCCAGCCAGGGCCGAAGGACTCAGGACTCTGGAGGCCATCAGACAGGGCCAGCACCAGGGAGGCAATGTCAGGCCGGACTCTCGGGGCCCCAAACTATCTTTGGTCTCCTCACCTCCAGCTAGGTCTGGGTGATGGCCGATCCCTGCCTACTCAGGACTGGGGGATCTTTCAATGCTGCTGGGGTTACTGTGGACCCCGGGGTGAGGGGAGTGAGGCAGGACCTGCTGGGACTGAGATGAGTTTACAGAACCTGACCATTCAAGACCATCATGGATCTCGTGTCCATGAGTATTTGGTCAGGTTTTCGTAATGAAAGTTGTAATAAAGAAGTGGATACATTATGGCACCAAAAAAAAATCCCAAAACAGAGACTTTTGTGTTTCATGGCAAGGGAGACTGGGCCCCGACCACCTCCTGGATGACAAGAGGTCACTCACTGTTGGAACGGCCCCAGCCTGTGGTGCAGCACATGGTCCCCGCTGGGAATTCACCCGCGGCTTTGGGCAGGCACACGGGAGACACCATGCCAGTGAAGTTGGCGGGCGTGGCCAGCTTCACCAGGGCAATGTCATTGAATTTTGAGTGATCTGCAGGTTTCCTGAACACCTGTCAGGGAGGCAGGGAGGAGGTGTGAGGCCTGGGACCCATCAGGGATCTGCAGGTTGGACAAGACAAATGCCTTCAAGGTGCCCATTCAGAGGACACAGACTAGGGCAGTCCAGGGGGAATCTGAGGCCCAGTCCACGGGTCCTGTTTCAACCAACTGACAGGGCTTCTACCTGCTGCCCCTGCCCCCAACCTCCCATCATCTCCCAGGCAGGTGGTTAGGGACTGACATACCTGGGCAACCTTCAGGACCTGGGCATTCTTCTTATCTGAGCTCAGGTCAGTGATCCCAGCCACAACCAGGGAGGTGGGGCTAGAGAAGCAGATGGGGTGAGAAGGAGGCTGTCTACCCTCCTCTCCCCCAGCCCCAACATCATCCCATGAACGTACCTGATCTGGCAGTGGGCAGCAGTGAGCACCCAGTTCTCACTAATCAGGGAGCCCCCACATAAATGCCAGCCAGCGGGATCCTGGAGGAACAGGGGAGAGTGAGCGATGGCAGGACACCACATACCTTAAACTGGGAAGGAGCCCCCTGCTGGGCCACACCCCAATGTGACCCACTCAGATGCGTACTCCCCCTCACCTGTAGGGACACCTGCCAAGGCCAGGCACCAGGGAGAGCGTCCTTCCCATTGATGATCCTGCTTATGCCGACCCCTTCAGGGCGAACAGAAGAGACACCACAGCCTGGGAGAGCAGAGGGATGTTGAGTAGGGTAAGGTCCAGTCAGGCTGTAGAGGCCCAGTTCTGCGCACGAGTCCACACTTGGCCTCTCTCCCCTCGGGCACTTCCCTACCACCTGAAACTTTAGCTTGGAGGACCCCCCACACAGTCTGCTGGCCCAGTGACCCCCACCCCCCACAGGGATGCAGAGGGACAGGCAGCCCCATCCGGGTCCCCCTGGCCAGAGCAGTAGACACAGGCTGAGTAATGAGGGTCCCTGATCCCCACATCCCTGCTGGGAGTTCTGCCCACTCTGACTCTCCCAGGCTAATTTTCCCCAAGAAAGAAGGAGCAAACACTGCCACCCTCATAGACAAAGCTCTCCTTGAGATGGATGGGGTGAAGGGCTATGGGATTTTATTCAGAAAGTCAAAAATCATGGGAATTACCCCTCTGACACTTTGCCAAAATGTGAGCTGGACCTGTTGACATTGGCTGGATATTCTGTTCTGGAGATTTCAGGAAACTTCATTGCAAAAAATTAAGGTTATTAATTATTAAATAGAAGAAGAATTTTTGACTCTCCACCATCAAGACATGGCAAGGAAACAGAATGTCCAGGACAACGAGGACACACAGGGCCCTTGACATGAGCAGGACGTTTGCTGGGTCAGGACACAGGATTCCCAGCCGCTCCCAGGGGTGGGAGAACTTGGCCACAAGAAAAAGCGGGGGCAGGGCCAGCCCCTCCCGCAGCTGGGCACCCCCAGGGTCCCCCAGGCCTTGCTCCATGCAGCACCTGCCCCTGCCCCATGGCCCCGCCACTCCCTCCAGCTGGTGACTCCAAACAGGTCCTCATAAGAACAGAAAACCCCCAGCAGGCGCTGTGAGCAGCGCCCCCTGCAGGCGCGTCCCAGGAATGCAGGGGGGCTGGTCCCTGTGCAGGGAGGGACCCGAGGTCTCACCCTAGTAGGGACCCGAGGTCTCACCCTAGTAGGGACAGCAGCTGTGACAACACAGGGAGGGGATACAGGGAGGGGTTCCCCCATGGAGCCCGCTGTTCTAGGTGAGCTCCAGGGGGTGAGTGTGTGAAGTCGGCACAGAGTGACAGGCAGGGACTCAGCAGAGGCCCCTTCCCAGGGAGGGGAGGGCGTGGGGGGCTGCTGAGCCTAGTGGGGATGTCAGAGAAATTCCTAGGGAAATTCTGGGGAAGGGAACATAAGCATAATCATGGGGGTAGCTACATGGATGTTATAATATTATTTTTTTAAGTGTTAAACTACTCAGCAAGTACCAGGCATTAACTAGAATTTCCAGGTGGAGCTCATGGAGGTCTCTTGTCACCACCCCAACTGTGCCCACAGCAATCTCAGGCCACCTCTGCACTGCTTTTCTGGGCCCAGGCAGTAATTTTCTAAGCCTTGCACAGGGTGTTAGGGGTCAGGAAGCCCTAGAAAGAATATTCCCTTCCCTGCAAGTTCAGGTGGACAGTCTAAGCTTGAGGCCCAAGGCAGCAGGAATGAGGTGCAGCTCTCCCGCTCGGCCTGGACCCCAAGCAAAAATTCTTAGGCCTGTTGCCTGGGACTTGATGCCCAGTAACTGGGAGTTTGGGGAGAGCTTCGCCAACCCCCCTCAGAATAGTGGTCCCCACATCCCTGATACTCACCAAAAGTGGTTCCCAGCAGGGCGAAGCAGGAGAGAAGCCAGAGGAAGGCCATGGTGCTGCAGTCAGGGAGGGTGAGGCTGCCTGTTTCAGGGGCTCCTTTTACATCCCCGAAGAACCCCAAGCCCCTCCCAGGCCCTCAGGACCTTCCCTGACCTGAGGGCCATCCTCACAGGACTTAGGTCTCACGGGACCTAGGTGATAAGGTACCACCAACCTAGTATCGGCTTATCTCTCAGGCCAGCTCTAGGGGAAGGCAGCCGGCTGGCCATTTCTCAGCCTTGGCAAGTCCTGGTTTGAAGATTCCAGCTTTTTGGAACTGGGTTTCCTGGTTCTGTCAAGCAGGCAGGTGGTAAGCAAAGGATCGTCCACAAGGGAGCCTCACCCAGGTGTTCTGGGAGCTCAGTCTTATCATACATCACAGAGTTGAGAACTTCAGGGTGATTCTGTGCCTGCTCTAGAAAATTGCCGAGGCAAGACAAACCCATGAGGCTCAGTTCCTTGCTTGGAACCTGTGAACCAGCCCAAACAAGCAGTATCAAGCACACAGGGAGCCATTACCCAGGTCTCAACTGAATTCTCCTTTCTTTGAGAATGCACAGAAGTAGTTGTTACTAAAAATTTTTGTTTTTTACCGATGAAGATTCGATTTCAACCATAAATGGCCACTGATGACAGATCAGGACCAAGTTCAGGGAACAAGGAGGAGAGGCTGGATACAGGAATGTGCCCGGGAAGCTTCTGCCTTAAGTGGAAGAACAGGACCTCCGCTTCCTGGGCAGCATCTCTCTGCCCCTGACTAGGTCCCTTTAGGCCCCAGGCACCCATGAGAACAGAGCGCCCCTGCCCTCGGGATCCTGATCAGGGAGAGACACTGACCAAGTAAGCAGATCGTGTGAGGGGCCCCCAGGTGGGAGGGGCTGCTGCAGTCAGTGTCGGGGCTCCTGGGTGAGAAGACCCCAGGTGAGAACTGAGTGTTCTCCAAGGCCTCGGCCTGTGCTCCCCTGGGAGAAGCAGGTCAGAGTGAGCAGGCGGCTTCCGGGCTCAGGACAGTCACCCCGGAGGAACTCCTGGGGGGGGGCATGTGGGGGTCGGGGAGACTGGGGCCCCGGGTAGGCAGGAAGCGCTGGGCCTGTCCCTCTGCGTCTCCCTGTCCTCTGTCCCTTCACAGCCTGTGTCACCATGGAGCCCCAGGCACCCCCAGGTAGGCCGGGCCTTGGGGACAAGATGAGCAGCCCCCAGGGGGGTGTTTACACAGGGATCTGTCAGCTGAGGGGGGGGTGGCGGGAGTCACAGCAGGAAGGGGGTTTAGAGAAGGAGGGCAGAGCCTGTGAGGGAAATCAGGGATGGGGCCTTTAATGGCCAGTTCAAAAAGGAGAGAGATGAAGATGAAATGAATGAACAGGACTCCTTCAAAACACACTTACAAAAGCCAGTCAGGGAAGGCGTGACACCCCGGAGCGTTCTAGCTGTCCAGGTCCCCCAGGCCTATGGGTGCAGAGGCTGCAGATGAGTGTGGGTGCCGGGGTCATCCCCCAAGGCAGTGGTGAGCATTCCCTTCTGGGGGATGCAGATGTTTCAGTTAAGGAGGAAGCTCTGTCCTAGACACAGAGAGAAGTGGGGAGCCTGCACCCTGTCAAACATGCTCTGACTCAGCACCAGCATGTGGGAACCCCTCAGCAGGCCAGTTAAGGAGACTCTGACTTCTGGTAGGTTGTTTAGTATTCGGAACATGGTCTTAACATGGGACTTTTTGATTCATGTACTTTTCAGCAGTAACAAGGTCCTGGAAACTTTTAAATACATTGGGAAAAACTTGGGTATCAAAAACGACTTTTTCAAATGAAATTTAAAAAATCTTAAAAATTATTGATGGGGCCCTCCCTGGTGGTGCAGCAGGTTAAAGCACAGCACTAAGAAGCTTAAGCCACTTCAGCATGAGGTTGATCCCCGCCTGCCCCGGAGCTGATCACATGGCGCAGCAGATCTCTCCTACCCGCCCGCTGCTCCCCTCAGCAGTGTACTTCGTCCATCTGCCTGTTCTGCTCCCCACTATGTCTCTGGTGAATCCTCTCACTGGCCCTGCACCTCTGGCCTGTACCCCAGTTCTGTATGCACAAAAAATAAAACTTACAAAAAATTATTGATGATTAAATAGCTCTTGGGTCTGTCCACTTAAAGGTCTAGAAACAATGCCCAAAAATTAAGAAATCAAAAACAAATCAAGGGCTCCTGATGAAAATTTAGCACCCTAATGAGCTGTGTGCTAAGAACAATGTACACATTTGTTTGGAAACAGTCTGAGGAAAGGAACGTAAAATATCACATGAAGAATTTTAAAATATTGATCACATGTGGACATCATGAATGGTGGAGACCATGGATTAAAATACACATAGGTGAAATTATTTCACCAATTCCTTGTGTCATTTTTATTTTTAAAGATTTATTTATTTATGCTTACAGAGCTGGGTTATAGGCCAGAGGTGTGGTGGGGGAGAGGCTTCACCAGAGAAAGTGGGGAGCAGAACAGGCAGATCGATGGAAATACTCTGCTGAGGGGAACAGTGGGTGGGTCAGAAGAGGTCTGCTGTGCCTTGTGAATTAGCTCCCTGGCTAGGGATCAAACTTGTGCTGCTGTGGCTTTGGTGAGCTTCATAATGCGGTGCTTTAACCCATTGCACCACCAGGGAGGGCCCTCCTTGTGTCACTTTTATGAGGGCTTCCAGGTCATTTTGAATCACCTGTTTGTCTCTGTTTTAGTTCTTTCAAACAGCCCCAGACAGAAGGGAGGAATCGGGAAGCTCTCCAGGCCTGTGGGGTTTTAGGATTGGAGGAGGCAGGCGTGTGAGGTGAGCAGAGGTCAGGGCATTCTAGCAAGGAAAGGAAAGATCACTTAACCAGGTGTGCTTGCAACTCACTCACCTTACTCTTGTTCCACAGTCAGGTTCAGGTGAATGGCTGTTGTGTGCACAAGTTGTGTCTCTCTCCGAATTTCCACATATAGGTCCCTTCCACCCACCAGCTCTAAGGTGCTGCTGGTTCATAAAAGAGATTTTTAAAATTTTAAGATGCTCACTTCCAGCCCTACTGTCTGTTCCTTCTCACTTTTCTTTCCTATTTTTGAAGAGCACACACACAGGACCCTTGGAAAACTTGCACAAGCAGGTGCGGAGGCACCAGAGATAAGCTAAACTAGAGATAAGCTGACAGTTATAAATAACTCCAGCAGACCCCTCCGGCAGAGACCTCCTGCACTTGCACACACCAAAAAATTCCAGCAATAGCTTGACCCTATAAAGACCTGCTCTCCTAATTTCAAATCTCGATTCTCCCCCTGCAGCCCCCGAGAACAGCCCCTCACAGGCATTTGTCAAATAAGGCCGGCATCGATCAGATAGATAATCTTGGCCTCCTTTCTTTTCTAACAATTTGACATGCACATTTCTCCACATTGCATTTAGCTTCCAGCACTTGGTCACACCCTTTGTGATCCACGTATGTCTAACCACAATTTGAACACAGCTATCAGAACACATGCTATCCACATTACCTGAGAATGTGAACAAAGGGAAGGGAGGATTTGCAAGTCATAGATCTGATTAGGCTTCACAAGCCAGACTGTATAACCAACTTCTAAAATTCAACAACGAAAAGAGAAAGAAACTACTTGTGGAATGGCGAAGTAGGTGAGTACTTTTCTTCAAAGAAGACCTGCAATTGGTCAAAATATAAGACTCCATGGCCTCTCCTGAGAAGCCCACAGAGGAGGAGTCAGGCTTCCCACGGGCCACAGAGACATGGACACCAGGCCTGGGCTGACCGCAGCACACAAGGGCCTGAGTGAGCAAGATGCTGGGCGCTAGGGAAAGAGAAGAAACTATTTAAAACTGGGGAGAGCAGAAAATTACATAAGATTCTATTAACTATATAGGTGATGAGAATGTTAGTATAAACCTCAGCTCTCATGGTTAATTGGGGATAAAGCCATGTACCACCATGGTACATTCTAAGTCAGCATTCCCTCTCATAAAACAGGAGGATTCAGGTGTAGAATTAGAAACATGCCATGCAATCTCTTTATGCTGAAGTAAAACACAATTCTCTTTTGAATTAGCAGTGGAAATATCACAGTTGACTCAGGTTTTTAATCTTAAAAATTATGGATGATTAGGCCCTCCCTGGTGGCGCAGCGGGTTAAAGCACAGCACTGAGAATCTAAAGCCACTTCCGCATGAATTCAATTCCCGCCTGCCCCAGAGGTGACCACATGGCGTGGCAGACCTCTCCTGACCCGCCCGCTGCTCCCCTCAGCAGTGGACTTCGTCACTCGGCCTGTTCTGCTCCCCACTCTGTCTCTGGTGAAGCCTCTCGCCACCCCTGAGCCTCTGGCCTGGACCCCAGTTCTGTATGCACAAATGAATAAATCTTTAAAAAAATATATGGATGATTAATTAGTGCTTGGGTCTGTGGATTGGAACGATCTTGAAACAATGACCAAAGCAAATCATGAGTGACCTCTACACAGAGATAGGAGGTTGTAATTCCTTTTCAAATTAAAGACTCCTGGGGATTTTAGAGAAATAGCTGATTGATTTAAGGGTCTGGAGCATCTTGTGTCACCAGATAGGACAGAAGCTTTGAGCCCACATGGCCACATCAAACGTCTCAGAGCTGACTAGACAGCTCCCACTGGTCCCAGGAGTGGAATTTCAGCCTTGTGAACAGTAATATTTACAATGGTTAGAACCCCTTGTTTCTCTCCTATGGCTCATTGTGAGTAAAAAGTAAACCAAAAATAAAGATTTCTCAAGGTATTCAGGGAGACAATGTTCAGGCAGTTACTTGGCTGAGAAGAAGGGGCTCCATGGTTGACCTGGGGTGGGGGTTGCAGGGGGCAGCCACATTTCAGGGGACAGAGAGGGTGGGCCAGCAGCTGTGGGTCACCTGGTTATGGAGCTTTGGTTATGGAATTTTACAGGCTGACTGGGCCCCTAGCGGTGTCCTGGTTGAGTGTCACCCAACTTCAAACATCAGGATACCCATTTCTGGGCA